GCCCCCCCCCGCCGCCCCCACCCCCCGCAGCTGCCGCCCGCACCCACGGCCCGCGGAGCGCTCCGCGGGTCTCTCTCCCTTCCTCCCCCCACTCCCGGGTAAGACAAAGATAAGCGAAGAAACCCCAGCACGGAAAATACGCCACAACTATTTGCGTCTTGAAATGAGCATTTTGCATTTGGCAGTGTAACATGTCGACTCAGGACTTTAAGAACTCGAGTGCCAGAAAATCCCCCACAAAGAAGCCCGGGTCCTTATAAAGACGATATCTAGCCACCATAAGCCTTTGAAATGACCTTTGGCTCGCATAGCAATAACTCACCACTTAATGAACAACCAACGGAAGCGCCTCCAATAGCTCACAACACAAGAGAGCTTACAACTTTCCACCAAGTCTTCTCTCTCCCTACCCAAACCCAGTAGGATGCAACATTGCCCCTCCAAATCACCTTAATTTATGCTGGCAAACTGGAGTTAGGGAAATGGAGCTTCATGATTACACATGATGCTCGCTCAGGTTCTTGGCCCGGGCCTGTCCCGGTAACGTCTTATATTATATATTCACGTGGGCGTACGTCAACTTTAAGTGCTTTTTTTTTTTTTTTTTTTTTTTAAAGAGAGTTCATTAGAAATAGCACTTTACAGGGTGTATGAAGGCAGCGTAAGTTGGGTTGCACCTTAGCCCCTGAGTGGAGAGATCATAATATTGCAAAGCGAGTCATTGTTAGCCGCTGTTGATTAACACGGTAAGTTTTCATTTTGTGCCTAATTAATTATCGACTTCTCATCCCTTTCCGAAGCAGCTCCTCAGCCTCACAAGCGATAGCCTTCTTGCTCTAGACATGCTTTACTTGGCGAGAGCTTGGCCAAATACCGAGAGTTCCACGGCCACAGGAATAGCCCCCAAAGTTTGTTCTGCGGAGAGGGGAGCCCGGGCACGCCGGGGCTGTGCTCAGCTCCCAGCACTGCTCCTGCAGAGCCCAGCTCGGAGAAGAAGTTGCCAGAGCTAAACCCAGGGAAATCTTTAGAATTATTCAGGCGTGGGCCCAATATAGGTATTATTGAAATTTTAGGTGAAGTTATAAGTGAGTGCTTCCATCGAGCCAAATGAAATGCTGCTTGCAGTAATTGGATTCAGCTGACTAACTTGGCAGGCCAGCAGCTTGGAGGCATACAGCTAAGAAAAATGTTCACTGCCTTTAACTTCTGATCGAGCAGAGCAACATGCAACAGAAAGAAAAGAAAAAAAAAAAACAAAACCACCCCACCCCAACTTTC